ATCCTTGACTGTCACACGAAAAATCACACAAAATCCAACAAACATTTGAAAACAAAGCATCTGAGCACTGCTGCTTCTATTCATAGATGATAAACATCTTCACAGTTGTACAGCTACACTGAACAAATTAGCTACTACATTGTGCAGCCGGCCTGCTAGCATGCACTGTAATTGGTCAGGCTAATTATATTATTAAGTCGTTAGCTAAATTACTTTAACCGAGTAACACTCTTATCGACTTCGGCTCCCAAAATACATTATAAGGGAAAATGAGGCGAGGTCACATTGATTGATGGCCGAAGTACTGGCTACACATGAAGTAGTAGGTAGCCTTAAAGCAACATATGTAAAACTTTTATAAGAACAACTAAAATTAAGGTATTGAAGTGCTTTAAGAAATCGACTTGAAGACAACTAAAATCTTCCTTTCACGTATTTTACGTTTCACATATGCGAGTGCTTGCTAGTTTTCGCTCAGTGTACTTCAACTGTAGTTATCCAGACGAGAACGTACGAAACACCCATCCACTTGCAATTAACACTTAAATTAATTCATATTAATTAAGGCCCATTCCACATCAACCAAATGAGAACACACTTAACGCTTGGGGCAGTTTGGCCTTTATGGGCCCAAATATAGGGGGACGGCTAGACCGTAAAGCAAGTCAGTTGAAAGGGGCGATACAAAAAGTAAACGCATTTAACCTCAACGCAATCAACATGGCATAGCGGCAAATACTCGTATAATAAATAACAACAACACAGCAACAAATAGCCAAGTCCTGCCCAGACACAACGGTGCTCATTAATAAAGAGCCCTAACAAAAATGTTGGGCACAGCAGGATACGAGTGCCACAGCCGCAGCCACAACCACAACTACAACAACAACCGCAACAAGCCGAACAGGAGCCAAACGAAGAAAAAAGTCCAAGAAAATATTAATCACGTTTAATATGTTGCAGAAATTAGCAACATCTCTGTGGGTCATGCTTACGAGTTGCGGTCAGTTTAGCTCCAATTTGCTAATTATTATGAATTCTGATCTGAGGCAGAGCCGACAGAGCTGGCAGAGCTGGCAAGGCTTTTATATGTACAATACGTCCGACATTTGTTTTGCATATTTTAGATGCAATGATATATAATGGGCGTAGGCCATAAAACAGCTTTGAGTGGATGGCCGCAATATAAATGACCAACAATTAGGCAACGCACATACATATAAAAGTTTAAGTCAAACTTTTTTTTTACCAAAAATGTGAGCAAAACTTTTTCTTATGGCATATGCAAATAACTGTAATAAAAGTCAAGGTAAAAAGCGTGTAACTTGGCTTGCATTGGCGGTCGTAGATCATGTTTCAGCTCTGTTAGCTAGCAAAAAGTTAGCCCAGAAGTTCAGTCAGACATAAAATATATTTAACTGTGACTTCTATTAGTGTCTAAAATATATATTTTAAGAAATAGACTTTAATATGTCCTATATTATACCAAAAAATAACAAACATTTACATGGAAAACTTTTCCATATGCTGCTGCTGTTGCTGTTGCTGTTGCTGCAGCTGCTGTTAGCAAATGGTTAAGGCTGATGTCAAGTTGAGTTCGGCTTTGATGCAACGAAAACACAAACTGAAAATGCGGTTTGCATCAAGTCAGCTCAGAAAATAACTTGCCAAATGTGCGCCGAGCGTTTCTGACAGGTTGGCATAATAAACGTATACTTTCAGCAAGGTAAGCATACAGGCAACATGCATTGCACAAACAAACACAATTGTGGTAAGTTTTTGGTAGAATATTAATATTTTGCGCTACTCGTAGTCTTATTCCTTATGCATGCGCCTTGATTGCATTTTCCATGGCGATCCAGAAGAATAGACAATGCCAATAAGAAACGGAAGTTAGAACATTAAATATTTCTCAGCTTCGCCTTAGACAACAACAAGTGTGATAGAAATATTGGGCAAATATTTAACGTGCTTTTAAGCAGCTTAGAGCGAATGCTCTCAAGTTCTGTGGAACAAAGCTTGTTCAGGAGAATATGTTCTAAAATGCTTTAATGTGCAGACGCCCCCGCTACGCATTCATTGACACGCCCCTAACAAAGACACGACCACAGAATCCCAAAAACTTTCAGGCGTAAATTTCAATCAGACCGCTTAATGCGTGCCACTTTACCGGTACAACGCCCACAAACAAATTGTCTGTGAAATTTCGTGAGATACACATTCAGCTACCTAAGCATCCAACCACACACACACACACTTGCAGACTGTCTGCCCGTGTATATCCGCAGGTGTTGCTAACTTCAAGCCGCTTGATTGGGCATATTTAGGCACTTCTAAGCGCAGATGCTAAAATTACATTAATATTAATATTTTGCCAGCGGCAGCAAATGACAAACATAAACTAGTTCCCAGAGCTAATCAAATATGGCGTGGGTAGTTTATAAAGTTGCCGTCGCATAGCTAAATAGCACTCTCTACTTTGCTTCTTTAAAGGCTAAAAAATATTGCACCTTATTCTTTGTTACATTTGTTATACATTACATGTCTTAGATTAAGAATTCATAATGAAAGCATAGACTTCAGTGTTATTTGCAAGCAGCTTTCCTTTGTTACTTATCAAGACTATTTATGAATAGAAAACTAAAAGAGAGATAGAGAGTGGCAATAGAGTGCAATTTTATGATAAATTTGAAATAGCTGCGCAGTTTCGATAAAGGTCATTTAAAAGCAAAGTGTACTCGACGCTTGCCTACTTTTGGTAAGGCAGCAGCACAAATAATTTTACGCACAAGAGCGCAATAAGCAGTCGACTGCTCCGTGGCCCTGCCCCACCTCTAAAGCCATGTACCATTCCGATATCGAGCTGTGTTTGGACCAAACAGCAACGTCATGAATCAAGAGTCCCGCTTCCCGCTGTGGAAAGGAATTTGAAGACGAGGGCACAACAGACCCAAAAATCGCATTGCCACTAAGAAAAACATCGTAAGATGTGAAAGCAAAAGCAGAAGGCAACGGAACGGAAGCAAAATGAAAACAAAAAAAAAAACAAAGACAAAACAAAAAAATGAAAATATAAAAAAATTGAGAAAAGAAAAGCTGAGTGCACAAGCTGCGCTGGTAAGAAAATGTAGACGTAACGCTGTAAAAAATTACTTATCTGCGCCCAAAATGATTTATTGGCCCAAATGGCAAGCAAATAGCATTAAAAGTGTGGTCGGGGCCTGGCCGAAGGGTTGCTGCATAAATAACCCAAAACGAGACGCCTGGAAATGTGAAAATAAAATGCTACAGGCAACAGGGCATGTGGGCGTGCCCAACTGCTGGGGCAGATCTCTACTTAAGGTAAACTATGCAAACACGCAGCCAACTGCTCTTGGCCAGGCGCAAAGAACTAAATTGCATGGAAAAACCGGCAAATGGAAATGGTAAACGGTCAAGTGACGTGCCCGAAGTGTTCGAGTAATAACAGGCAACAGTTGTTGTCAGGCACTTTTGAAAAAACGCATCATAATTTTATTTCTCACTTAACTTTTCATCAATTTTTTATTATACTTAAAGATGTTTATTAATTTCTGCACTTAATTGCCCCAGTTTTTATACTTCACAACATTCACATGTCCAAACAATTTGTGACCAACTTCTCGAACTATGAACTCAAGATCAGTCACATGTAATTCAAGTGATTCTGTGATACATGAGCTTACGCTATTTTTGACATACTTCTAGGCTCAACAAAATTTAATAAAAAATTAAATTCGACTGCTGCGGCTTTTAAAAGTTGGACAGCTGTCGCTCAAGACTTGGACAAAGTTTTTTTTATAAAAAGTTAGGCCCAAAGTTCACATCAGCAGCGATTGAGATGCGGGACGCCAGCAGCAAGCTTATTAGAGACCACAAATTCAAAGTACATAGTATCTGTATATAAACATGTATAAAGTAAATATATAAATGTATGTATATATATACTCATCAGTATACTTTGGCAGCGCTCTTAGAAGTAGCTCTGATGTGAATTATTCTAAGTAAACTACTCTTAAGCACTGATAAGAATCTTTAATATATATAAGTCGTTGATCAGTATTTTAATAACAACATAATCATAGCTCAGTCTGGTGCTATTGAGGCTGTGCGCAACATCTCTGTGTATAGACAGCATGTGTACATACCGAATTTGTTTGCTTATACTATTTCATCTAATTTCTACTCATGCAAATGAGTTCAACCTGTCAGAAAATGTTAAAGTGTTAAACTATTCGACACCGGAAATGCATGAAAAGTGCGAAGTCTATGCATTTCTGAAGATGAAGCCTCTGATATTAAGATTGAAGGCGCTACAGACCACGATTGAGGAGCATATACTTCAAAGCAATAACGAATCTAACACAATTCTCACTTTACAGAATTCAAATGACGAAGAGGATAAAATAAAAACGTTAAACTCAGAAATTAAGTCTTCGCAATCAAAGTTGACTGAAAAAGACAATCAGATTGCTGCTTTAAAGTCTGCTCTACAAGCTCTACTGATGAGAATCGGCAATGATAAGAACCATATAGACAACTTAACAGCTGAATTAAACTCGAAGAATTTAAGCTATAAAGCAAAAGAAAACGAGCTGTTAAATAATGAATCTAAACTAAAGTCGCTCGAAGCGACCATAAGTCAGCTGAATTATAAAATATCCAACTTAACAGAAAGCTTAACAAAGGCAGAAATTAATGTGAACACTTTAAAAAATAATAATAATAACATTAACAATGACTTGAAATCCACAAACATAAACTATCAAACAAAAGTAAATGAATTATTCAAATCTGAGTCTAATGTTAAGTCTCTGGAAGCTACCGTAGCTCAGCTAAATAATAAAATTTCGAGCTTATTAAAAAAAGAAATCGAAACAAACACACGGCAATCAAAGTTCGATAACCTCCAGAATGGTAATTATACATAAATTATTTGACACCTTCTCATGCTAAGCACTGAAACTTAATTTTTAGAACTCCAGACGATGGGCAAGAGATATCCCAATTCATGTGAATCATCTGAAAAATTGTCAATACACAATATTGTGCCCGTAAACACGATACAGGTGTTGTGTGCCAGTGACTGGATCGTAATACAGCAACGCAAAAATGGCAGCGAGGAGTTTTATCGCAGTTTTAGGACGTATAAAAACGGATTTGGCGACTTGGAAGGCGACTTTTTCATAGGTCTTGAAAAGCTGCACATGTTGACGAAACAACGAACTCACGAGCTCTATATACAGCTGAGAGACTTTGCAGGAAATATACGATATGCTCACTACGATAATTTTCAAATAGTCAGCCAGAACGAAGACTACGTGCTCCGTTCGCTGGGTAAATATAGAGGAAATGCCACTGACGCAATGCGTAAGGACGAAGGTCATTCAATTTTCACCCACGACAGCGATAATTGTCAAAATTGTGCAAATGAACGTGCTGGTGGCTGGTGGTACAGCAGCCGTTGCGGTTACAAGTGAGTTATCGACTTCCATTGAACATGAGACATAATTGCTTTGCGAATTTCTAATTTTCAGTAATTTTATTGGCGTACCCAGCCATGATGCCATGGATGGCCTATTCTGCCATGGTTGGGATGGCTATTACTCCAATTTAAAAGTCGTTCAAATTAAGATACGGCCGAAGACCTAAATTAATTACTCTCTTTAAGTTAGAGAGTGAGTCTACCTGCGACAGCAGCACCCGCATCAATCAAACTCAATATTTAAAACAATCAAATATTTACACAAACTGAATTTATGAGTCACAGCTGGCTATAAAAAGAGCCAAGCAACTATTCGCGTTTGGCATCAAATCGAATTACTGTAGTTGTGTTTTCCATTTTTCTGAAATAAAATAAAAATACTTTTAGAGCAATACGAAATATTCACGGAACTTCGTCTCGTAATCCATTTATGTAGTAAATACAAATACATTTTGTTTTACTTGTTGTCCATGTCATCGGCCAGTTTTACGCTTTGCTGGTGTTCAATCAACCGAGTTCGTTAGTTCGTTAAAAAATAATAGTTTTCAGTTCAATGGCAAACGAAAACAAGTCTTAGTTATACACTCGAATATTTCCCTACAAAAATATGTAAATAAAGATGTATGTATATAGATAGAAAAATTGTTCATTTAGCCTGCAGTTAAGCTAAGTAGCTTAAAGGTCTGGACTCTTGGTAAATATATATTTATATATAATCATTTAGTATAGAGTATCTTGGAATTTGATATTGTAAATGTTTATGGAATACCTGAAATGGTGCAACATATTGTAGAGTGCATAGAACACATTCGGTCTAAAATAAATATAACTATATTGTTCCAATCAATACACATTTTAAAAGCTACCAACCGTACTTCAACAAGCAAATAAAAAAACAAAATATGAAATTCTAAATTGTCACGACTATTGCTAAAGGAATAACAAAACGTTAGCTAAAAATAACTTTTTATGGCTACACATGATATGCAAATAAAAACAAACAAGAGTGTTTTAGACTAAGCTCAGCTCGACTTTAAAATACCCTTTCTTCAAAATATATTAAAATAATTGTAGTATTTATAATTATATATTATATACTTATATTTATTACAGTATATTAATATATATATTACATGATCAAAAAAATAAAAGAGTACAAATTGAAAATGTACAATAAATTTGTAATTATTATGAAATAATATTACGCTTGGTAATAGCGTTAACTGCAAATTTCGTGTGTGCATTTCAAATTCCTCATATGCGCATTCATTTTTATTAAGCGCATAGCTATAAAAATGTTCACACAAATATTCTGTATAAAAAATTAATTAAACGAAAGTTACGTATTAAAGAACAAAAAGGAAAAAATAAAAAAATATGAAAAAGTAAATGCTGTCAATATGAAAAAGTAGTAAAGATCATAGCAGGAACGGCGAGCGCAACAAAAACTAAGCCGAAAATGTTGTGGTTGGCTATGTGCGGCTAGGAGATACCCACATTTAATTAATTTTTCAATTTTAATTAACTTCTTCATTCATTATTTAAAAGCTTGGCCCTTTACCTTGTGCAGAGTAAACTATTTGTGTATGAGAAGTCAAGGCTTTATCAGAGACGCAACTTGTTTATACCCCTTTTGACTTGTCAATGCAGGGTAAAAAATGTATAAAAAAAATGTAACCAACTTCAGTTAAAATGTATTTTTGCAATTTTAATGAAATGAAATGCATGTGGGCTCGGGCTCGGGCTCAGGCTCAGGCTCACGCTCAGGCTCGGGCTCAGTGGTGTAAATGTAAATGCGCCGTCTGACACGCACGTCCAACAGCCGCTCTATCCCAACGAGCCCTGCATGCCTTTCAGCGTTTTTTTCTGCCTTTCATATATAAGTGTGTGTGTGTGTGGGTGGGTGTGTGGGTGTGTGTTTAAATGCAAATTACATTTCATTTCATTATAGCATGCGGCATTTTCACGTTGGGCATGAAATAAGAATGCAAAAACTGCTGCATGCGAAACGAGTTTAAAATGGCGGCCGTTACCGTTAGCGAGCTTCGCCAACAAAGCCTTGAGGTACGCATTAGACACAGGCACAGTTTAGAGCCGGAGTCCAAACCGGAGTCAGAGTCGGAGTCACCGTCCGAGTCGTCGTCGTCGTCGTCGTAGTAGCTGCCAGATGAATTCACCTACAAACATTCACACAAACACACACACACACACGCACTCACACACATTCCTGCACAGGACGACAGCTATGAACATTCACGCTAATGCGTTCTGAATGCTTGAGCATTTAATATACCTTGCAAATGCCTCTTGCAAATGTGTATATTGAAATACCTTCTGTACTCTCAAGCTTAACATATTTTACTATAGAGTATTACTTATTTTATTCCAGGGTATCTTTAATTGGGTTTTCATTTGAAAATTTATTTGATACAATTTAATTATAGACTAAACCTATCTTGACCTATCCATTCATTGAAGCAATAACATTTGCATATGCACAGGGTATTTTGTAGTCGATCAGCTTCTGCTGCTGCAGTCCTGCTTGTTTATATATATATAAATAACTCTTAGCAAGTGTTGCGCATTGGTATGGATAGAAAGAAGCTGTCCCAACTGCTAATATGCAACCCTCTGTTTGCCTCTGCGCTCTCCGCTCGTTCCGGAAACCTCGTGCCTGTCTTCTGGAGCCAGGTGTCCCTCTCCACTGAATTCGTACGCTTAGGCGACTGCCCAGGTGCGTTGTACACCTGACTGTTGCTTTGCATTGGAAATTAAATTACGTTTAAGACTTAAAGTGCACTGCACAAATTCTATTTACCCTGTGCTACTTAATATAATAAATTGTAATCATATTTGCTAGCCAAAGGAAGGAACTGCGCCAAGTTTCTTCAGGAAATGCCAATAGGCGGAAATAAAAAAGATTGCTTAACGCGGCTTAAACAGTTTCCCTATGCAAACATATATTAAAGTAATAAGTGATTTTCGATGTTAAAATTACAGAATTTAAAAATGAAAATATTATTATCGACCACAATTCAGCTATGGCTCTGCACTGACCCAAATTGCCAAACAAGTCGAAAGGGCGTAACGAAATAGAAATTACGTATACGCACTGTGTCGTAGAAAGTGCAAGGGCAAATGTTGCTAATTTTGTAACGCACGCACCCTGCACCCTCAGCCCTCAATCCCAACTTGCGTCATTCCGGTGGCAATCCCTCTTAAAAGTATGGGCCATAAAGTTTTGCAGCAACTGCTAAACCCAACAGCACGCAGTGCATATTTCGTTAGGAAATCCTTGTAAGCCACAAAAGACTTGAAAATTTGTGCGGAGCCACAAATTTCATGGGAATAAAATTGCAACGAAATAAACTTCCACAAACAGACACACAGACACACACATACAATCAAAAATAATAAAAGCAAAAAAAAACAACAATTTCAGGAACAAGAAAACAACATCAAAAGAACACCGAAAATGCAATCGAAGTAGAAAGCACTCGAAAAATCAGCGGCAAATACCAAAAACGAAGGGGCTCTCAATAGACTGGAGGCAGGCATTGAATGAATGGAACTAAAAACTGGGAATGCAGCTGAAGCAGCAGCTGCAGCAGCAACAGCAGCAGCTGTAGTAGCTGGAGCAAAGGCGAACCAATCGATTTAGCATTGCGTACTAGTTTCCAATTAAAAGTTTACTAATTATTTCTAAACTTTTGTGCAGCGATCAATGAGCATTGAGCATGCAAGCCGCAAACTACGAACCAGAACTTAGTCGAGGACAGCCGGAAAATCCTGCCCACAAATTGGTTACGATTGCACGAGTGCGTGTGTATATGCATGTGCATGTGTATGTCTCTGTGTTTGTGGAGTGCGTGGGTACGTACTTTACGATAAGTGGGCTGACCAGCTGAGGCTCTGGCTAGGCGTAGTCAGCCATTTGGCTGATGAGACACCATGTCCTCGACATGGTCAACATCGGCTGCCAGTAATTGACTATGCGTTGACTTTTGTTAATTTCGTTGCGTTATGGTCCGAGTCATGTGTTTGCCAGTGCCGCCATTTTGTTGCCATACCCACACACGCACACGCACACGCAGACGCACACGCACATGCAAACACATGACGCCCTCATGCAATGGCTTACATTGAGGAGTCAATCAAAGCGCAAATCGATTTCCGTGCCATCCATTTGGGACAATGACTCGCTGCAGCGAGTTTCTGGTATTAACAGCAATTGCATTTTGCCCGCGTCCATGTTGATTGTAATCATTGGCTGCGCCTCATGACAGGCTGCCTAACGAGTTTTGCCAAGAATCCTTCCGCTCATTGATTGCCCCTAGATTCAAAGCGTCAAAGAGGTTGGGGCATCCACGAAGATACCGACAATTCAGTTAATCGATCATATTTTACCCGATAAGAGCTAACAAATCATTTTCAATTACTTTGTTAAGTAATGCGCCAAGCACTTTGGTATGCATTTCACTGGCGAAATAAACAGCAGGAAAGTCACATGACAAATAGCTCAACTACAAACAAATAATACAAGGACCGCTGCGAGTATCTGATAGATATCAACAAAAACCCCATATCGCAATGCAATTGAAAATGCGCTAGCACTTTGCCAGCGACCAATATTTGTTATTGCAGCCCGCCCGTTGGCCGTGGGCGGGACGAAGACGGCCCTTGTGTAACTGCCAGCGCATTTGTCGTCGATTTGTTGGTGTCATTATGCCATGGCGGTGGCATGGTGCGAACCGTGCCAGTGGATGGATGGGGGATTGGATAATGTTCGTGGCCCATGTTGACGCACTTAACAGTGCAATTTGCAAGCGCTGCTTTATTTTCTGACGCAATACACGTCGTATGCGCAATGCGAGGCAAACAACGTGTCCACCTGGCGCATTTGCACAGCCAGCCCGAAAATCAACCCACACCCAACACTCGATTTGTCTATTGTTTGCCAATGTTTGCTTATTTGCTGGTCGCTTAATTATATTTGTGTGCGGTGTTTTGTAAATTTAACTGGTCCCAGCTCCAGGTCCACGTCCAGCGCAGCACAGCGCTTCGAATGCCAAATATTGGAAATTGTTGGGCAACATTTAATTGTGATTCATTAAAAAAGATTATTTAATAAATGTAATGCAATCAATTTTCATATATTTGTAGTTATTTCAATGCAATCGAAAATTGTTTGCAATGCACTAATGAAATAATTTACAGACTTTTCAAGCCATTTTATTTAACAAATTAATATTTTGTCGATGTCGATGAGTTGCATAAGCTCTGCCAGCTAAATTAAATGAAATAATATGACATGGAAACAAAAATAGAACAAAATACGAATGGAAATAGATACGCACACATCCCCTTAAGCGTTTTTAACCTTGTAAAGGAATATAATGCC